AAGTAATATATTTTCTACCGTGAAGAAGCCACGGGGTATATATCTTTTTTGAAACAGCTGGTACAATAGGGTTGGAAAGGATTAAATATCAGCGGACCACTTGGATAGCACTCCCCTCTGCACAGGGTGACACGTCAGCGTGAACTATCCACAGGAAGTGGTGCGGTCGGTCTCCTTAATAACGACTGGCCCTGTTTACACAGGAGGGATCCAGAAGCGACGCGATATTTCCTCAAGTTTTCGAGATGCCCCTCAGACTACACCCCTTACCTTCACCTCCAGCCTCTACTATTTATTCGTCCGTCTTTCGTCGCGTTTTACGGTTGGCCGGAAATCATTAAATAATGTCACCGTACGACTTCCGTTGTCACTTACCGTAAACGGTCGCGCCACTTGATATGCAAGCTGACACGCCTTAATTACATCGCTCTCCTCCCACGCGGATTTTCATACACCCGTTGTTTGTCTGTCAACTTTCTCTCTTTAAAGCATTTAACGTTTTTTGACAAAGAAACTTATTACCAACTACCCTGTGTCCTTCGACGCCTCTCGATAGACCAAGTGCCATCGTGAAATATTTACATCGTCTGTACCTGCTTTGCGTTTCGTTTAACCTTTATTATCAATCTATTCCAGTTCTATTACACACATTATATGCTTGTAAATGTCAAAAGGTTGAAGGAAGGGTGTCTTTTCCGCGTTTCGATCCACAGCTGTGGCGGCAGACGTTTTCACGGTCGTTCACCGAGATCGATCCTCGTTTTCGCTTTCCTCGAGAAAGAGAAGTCTTCGTTAACCTTCTCTGACTGAAACAGTCGTAAAAGTCTGGTGAGTACACGCTGCGCTGTTACGTCACGTTCCCGGGATTCTTTCATGGTTCAGCACCGTTATTCGCTTTGCGATGGTTTCGCCTTTGCCACGATAAGAGGATATACTCGATCAATTTGGTGAGAACGGTAACTGGAGGCTCGCGTTAATTGGCCAACGCCACAGGTGGTGATAATTTGCAAGATACAAACAAGTAGAAAAAAAACGAACGTGGACGGTTCTCGGCCGCTTTATCGTGCTGTTTACGACTTTTAAGTCATAGCTACGCGATCCATAAATATAAGCTGGACGTGGTGCCGGCCCGTAAATTCGCTTTCCCGACGACCACGATGACGATGTGTGAAACGTTGCGGAATAACAAATCCCGGACGTTTTACGAGAAAATGATTGTCGCTAACGTTTCACGGTACCATAAACTTCGCTAATCGACGCGCAGAACGGCTATCAATGTGCAGGAACGTTTTCAACCTCTTTGAAACGCTTCATTCCGTCGAAAAGTGCACCCGTTTTGTCCATTGTTGATTATCTCAAAACGACAAAAGAATATTTTCTATTTATTCTGTTACCAAAAAATGTAATTTCTGTATTGGACGATGTTGTTTCACAAATAACTTGTGTATATCCAGTAGAGTTTTGAAATAACAATCCCCTGTGTTGTGTATCCCCCATAGCAATTAACGCGTTAACGTTCGAATTCGTGGCACGGTACGTTGAAATCCCATGGTAACCGTTTCCCTTTGTTTGCTTCATTTTCCAGCACGGCTTTACCATTGCCAAATCTGTGTCCACTCGGACAGCGAATCGTGCGAAGGATGAAGAAGAAGAAGAAGGGAAAGAGATCGCGATCGTAATTAGCGAACGCTTGTTCGGACGGAAAATTTACGAGGGAAAATAGGCGGGCGGAGGGCAATTATCTTTCGTTGATTATTTCGCGGGTAAGTTCTTGTTCATCTGCCGTTCCACTTTAGGAGACGAGGCTGTTTTAGTCGAATACACCAACAACATCGCAGCAAGAAAGAGCCAACGCCCCGGGCGAGCTTCCACGACTATAAGCTGCGTTTCACGATTTTCAACGAGATAAAAGGAGCTCAAAATTATCTCCTAAAATATTCCTCGCTCTTCTTTAGAATCGGGGACGACGCGGTTTTATTTAATCTCTTTACTGCGAGATAACTAACGTAAGAGCAAAACGCTTTTCTGCGTAAGATTTCGTAACGCATGTTTATTGTTGGCGGTAGTTTCCGAAGCGACGAGCATAGCGGATTATATACGTCATTCTCAGTTTGGAGCCAAATAGCAATCGTGGTGCGTAGCGCGTCATTCCAGGTCAAGGGGTTAAATGAATCAGAGATGATAATTAGGTAGAATGATAGATCGGTCCAACTCGGCGTCGAAAAGACGCGTTTCCCTTCTTCAACGAGGCTCGACCAAGTGGAATTGGAAGTTCGAGAATCGCGAGAACACGATTCCGCGTCGGATCGTTGCTCGTCGAAAATAGTTACAGCTCGGCGACCAAATGTCTCGTGAACCGCGACGTAGAAGGAGCATGGATTCTTTCGACTGACCGAGACGCGTGCAATTCTACTTATACGCGTCCCAAGTGTACCAAAACCATCTCGCTGTTTCTGGCACGTACCAAAATTTATAGCCTCCTTTCGATACGTTTGTGGAAATCTCGTTGACCCTTTTCCACGATCGTCAAATCCCCTGCTTCTATCATTTCATACGAGAGATTTTGGTTTCAGAGAAATCTGAATACACGAATAGCTAGAACAATAATTTGTAATATTCGAATGCGTCGGGAGGAGTGAATGCTAATTTCCGAAACAATTAGGGATGATTGCTGACGAATGGAACACGTGGCATGGTACCAAAACGAGAGAATGCGGCCCGTGGGATGTCGCTGCTCGCGACAAAGACGTTCTGGACTCGTTTCGAACGGCATTCCGCAACGTGCATCGTTTACCAACGAGCAAGGGGCCACCAGACGAGTCTGGTCAGCTCTCGCACAGGTGATGAAGAATAAAAAAGCACACCTTCGGAGAGCATCGAAATTTTCTCATTCTTATCGATCCGGTGACGCGCCATCTTTCTTTCTCGTGATTTCCCACGGCAATTTCGTGCCTCCCGTTCAATCAGACTGTCGACCTCGCTGTCGATTGACGCATTTAAACTCGTCTCGAACAAGATGCTGCCGTTAATTGTTTATTACCGCTTGTCTGCGTCTCCTGTCACTACAAACTTCGAGAAATTTCGGTTCATCTTCCTGCAGACGTTTCAAGACCGAAAGGAGTGTTCCAATTATTTTATTCGAAAATGATCATAGAAACAATAAATAAAGAAGGAAAAGGAAGCGTTAATGAATGAATCGTACAACTTCGACGCCTATCAGCGTCGAATGAATTCGTGGTAAACGGTATCCTGTTCCGCGTCCGTATCGCCACGCGCGAGTACTCGATTTCCGCCGGAAGCACTCCGTCGGAGAATCATCGCTCCGTGCCGAGTTTCGCGTTTCAACTTAACTCTTATTTTGCACCATAAGGCGACCATCGACTGAGACAAACTGATTAAGAACGAAATTAAAATTCAGCCGAACATTAAATTTGTAACATTTTTCAAAGAAATTGAATTTTTAATCGACAGTCGAACAGGATGGCGCGTCCGTCGGTTACTGAGTCGACTACCTTTTATAATATAAATGGAATTGTTCAGGAAGAAGGAAGAAATGGTAAAAAGGTCGTGACACGCATCAAGCGGATCGAAGCGAAGGGAAGAGAAAAGTTGGTATCGAGAGGGAAAGTGGGAGCCGGCGTCGCGACGCAGCTGCTCACGAAGGGTGTCAATTAGATAACCACCGATCGTACCTCCATTCGCGCGTGACGAACCGGAGGGTGCCTTGCAGTGTCACCGCGAAGCCCTTCACCGCACAATTTCTCGTCATCTCGGTGTTTTAACTTTGTAAAACAAGAGAATAAGTTATCCTAGCCTTTTCTCACGGCTTGAAATTAACTTAAAGGCACAATACGAGGCCGCTTCGAAGCTATTTAACGTCGAGTCCGGCTATGCAAATTTCGATCAATTTGTCAGAATTCCGGTAGCAAGGCTGATTCCCGTGCACGCGATCCCTCGCAAAAGGATATAATCGTTAAAAGATAGCGGTCACGAAAATGAATCTGCCAACGTTAACCGCGCTCGAATATTATTTTTAACGAACCTGTTGAAAGTTTACGTGGTAATAATAAATAGAAAAAGAAATGAACGTCGTGGGGCGCGTACAGAGAAGGAATCGCTTGGAATATCGGTTGAATGTAAAAAGAGAAGACGTTTCCTTTTCACCTGTTCCCTTTGTTCGTTAATTCGACGAGACAGGGAGAAAAACGAGGGCGTCGGGTTAAATATTTCCAGCCCATTTGCTCCCTCTGGACGGCGACGTTCACTATCGGAGAGTCGCTCGTTGTCGAAATCAAGTCTGATGCAGCTCCCCGGAAGCAACCGCGCCAACCGTATGAAAATCGAATCGTACCATGATCGATATAATGGCCAATTTCTCTCGAACTAGTCTCGTTTGTCGCATGGAATTTCTTCGAATTGTCCGCCATAGAAAGCGTTTCAATCTTCTATCGGATGATCAGCCGTTTTCATCAAGTTCCATTGTAACCCGCCTCCAACTCGGCGTTTCCGTTCGATTCAAAAGGAACATTCTTCGTCGGATCGACGCGACGGTTAGGCGGATACGTATTAACTATTGCTTTTAAATTATTTCCCTTGTTTATCGCACGAATACGTTGAGAAACAATTTTTCATCTGTACCAGAATCGAGGATAAAATTGCGTTCAAAAAAGAACTACGTTTCGCGCAAAATAAAATAAGAAAGAAAAAAAAACAATATTGGATATCCCAGGCAATTAATTAATACTTGCGGTCCAGAGGATGCAACGTGTTCATCCGCTTACGGGGTGGAAATGGAAACACGGTGAATATTTTGGAGCACAGAGGGAAATTCATAAATAGCGAGAGAAATTTCCCTTTCGGCAAATACGGCCGTGATATGCTTGCTATTGTACGGTCATATTTGCAACAGGGAGCTTCTTTTTTTTTTTAGATACTGCTGGTATACTCGGTGAACTCTGGTAAAAGGGTTAAATATTTAAAACAAGCTATGCAAGACTCACCTCCCTCTTCTTTGGCGAAACTCTTAGTGGATCCTTTTTGTGAATCGGTGAGAGCAGGGAACACGAGTACCATTAGGAACAGGGTAAGCCAGATCAAGGTCTGTCTGCTGAACCAGCCCCATCGCACGACGCTTGACGCGCAGCTGTTCGACGAGGAGCGCAGGCTGCGACGAGCGGTGTCGCGGTGCGATGTCCTGAAGGAAGTCATCGTGCGCGTATCCGTCGCATCGGGTTCCTCGGGATCCCGGAGACGCTCGCAGATTTCACAACTGGCCCGCGCAGAACGAGCGGACGAGTCTGCGGGTAGGGAGGAGTGATCGTCAGCGTTTAGACAGCGGCAGTGACAGCCGAGGGGGTTGACATTCGTGCAACAAGCAGCGGTCGTCGTGCAAGACTTGACGACTGCTGTTGTTGTATCAGCCGACTCGTCTTCGGACGCCGCGTTACCGAGCCTGCGCATGCACCACGTTGACTTCATCCTTCGCAACCCTTTGGCGAAGCTAGAAATCCGCTGCTCGTCCAGGATCACCCTTTGACGATCTACACCCGATGGATCAATGGCCAAGATATTTACTCAGACTCTTTCGACCTTCTCGTTCATTTTCCTCAGTCTTCCGTTTTCCTTTCTCTGCGCCTTAGCAACTGGCAACTCTTGCCGGGATGATCAGGATGGGTTTCAAGATCTACTCAAGCTTTCTCGTTCATCCTATTCGAGCTTTCTTCTCACTTCTACTTTTTTCACTTTGCAAAAAACGAGATTGAATTTTCTTTCGAGGAATACTCGAGAGCTGTCCCAGAATAGTCATCTCTTCGAGTCGTTCGAGTATAATCCGAATATCAGCCGTTCGAGTTACGAAACCGATGTTGATCGATCGGTGGCTCGAACGACTCCATCGAGCGATCCACTTCGCTCGTACTTTCTCTTCGTGATCTCCGATTCGAGTTTAACGGAGATCGATCGACTCGCGTTTAATGTTCCTTGATATCACCACCGTACGAACCGTGGGATTTCTTCCTCTTCGTCGTCTTCTTCTTCTCGTCACGGTCATGCCACGGCTACGCGATAACGGGCCGCGTTATCTTTTCTTTTTCCTACCGATCTCACGATACTTCACCTAATAATCCACAACATTGTAGTCCTTCCATGTTCGCACCAGTGTCCTGTTTCACCGTTTTCTCTTTTTCCTTCAGTTTCACGGACATTTACGAGACGAATCGATTCGCTGGAAGTGACGAACGACAAGGTGGATCGAGTATCTTCGTACGCCGGTTCTTCCGGTTCTACATGGATCATCGGTCATCCTGTAATCAGAAAAACGTGTTTCTTGAATCGTTCGGTTCGGGAACCGAGTGACTACCCTTTTATGAATCATCATTAACAAACATTTCATTCTATCACGTACTCTGGATCGGACTTAAAATGAAGTTTATTAGGGAAAATAACCGTTCGGATGGATTAATTTGAAGTAGCATTAAAGTAGCCAATATACATATAACGTGTTAACAAGCCTGGCCAGTGAACCAGTCAGCAGTATCATGCTCCAAGAATAGACCAGGCATACCTCAATGAACTCGTCATCTTTATCGATCATCATCATCGCGATGGAATTCGGAACAGAGAATTCCACTATTTCGATTGTTATTGGATATAAAAGTGGAAGTAATGGCAGGACATTATTCGCGTCTGCTTGATATCATCTCGTTCTACGTTTTGGAGCCAGAGAGAGGATCTAATATTAGTTCCGTTGGTCCGTGAAATCGTGACTTGGTTCACCCAAACGTCGTTCCACGAACAGACCAGACGGGCGTCTGACATTTTCCGCCAGATCCATAATTAATAATCGAGCTAGTTCGTCTTTTTTTCTTTTTATCAGGGAACGAGGGAACACGGTTGGTCGACGATGAAACAGCGTATTTTCACTCGTTCCTTTTTTATACGGAGAAGATGGAATGGCATATCTTTCTTTACATACATCAATATTTCGGAGTATTCTGTGTAATTGTTAAGTACGAAAGGACGGACGTGTTTCTTTTTCGAGATAGCCGTTTGAAGTGACGCGTGCTCGCAAAATACCGTTCTGGTTACCATGACACTCGGGTTAAGTAACGTGATTCGATTGAAGGTGCATTTTTCTTCGTAACGAGCGATAATTGATTTATTGCGTATGAAGGGGTCAGAGTCGGGCCGTATACGCGGTAGCACGCGCCCTGGTACCGAGCGATACGCTCGATTAAATCTCCGCTCCGCTTCAACTATCCTCCTCGCGTCTTCACCGATCCGTTCGAACCAACGGCAGCGATCGAACTTGTCAATTGTCCACGTTCACCAAGCGTTCCACTTGAAATCGATTCCGCTCGATCAGCCTCGATCGTCGCTGGCGCCGAATTTTTCGAATCGCGACATGTCGCGAATATCACGAGCCTGAGAACACGACCTGTCCATCCTTTCCATTGCATGATTCATCGTGTCTCGTTTCGAATCGTTAGATCATTAAACGCAACTAATCGTTGCAGTTACACGATAATAGGATGGTTCCTTTGAATTTAAATACTGCTTGCAACGAGGGCAGGAAAACTCTTGAAAGCATGGTTTTCTTAAGGGATGCCAGAACATTTCCGTGGCTGAGAGATAGCCGAGACGGCGACGAAGAGTAAAATATTCAAACGGAATGCAAATGGAAACGCGAATCTCGGCATATTTCGTACGACACGTTGACTCGTTGGTTCGACACGTGCGCACGGCTACATTATCGGCCAGATCACCGGAATATATTTGACCCGAAGAGATGGAAGCTTGCGCAAAACCATTTTCGAATTCGAAATTAGTTCGTCAGTTTCGCTTCGAGTTTCAGACCGGGAATTATTTATCAAAAAGAACACGCAGAACCGTAACTCATTGTAATTTGAATAACACAATGATTGCAAGGCAATTTATTTTTCAGCAACAACATTGACACGTCAACGATGCTTACGCTCGTGTAGTAATTACACGTGTAAATCTATTAATACATTAACCTCTTGCACTTGAATATTCATTCTACGTTATCGCGAGCTGACTAATAAATTAACAATTATACATTGAAAATACTCTTGTTAACCTTTTCAAATGAAAAAAAGGAAGACAAAAAAAAAAGAAAACTATATTTCCTAGTTCAACTAGTTTGCATATAATCAATTAATTATCTTGCATAAAGGGTATACTCGCCCTTAGCTGATTAGCTAAGAAAACGAATACATACATATTTCCTTGTGATTAAATCGTACCGGAAACGGACGATCTGCTACGCATTTGATCCGTCGTCGCGACGCGGCCAGGCTGGCGCGCGTGAATGAGCGAGCGAAACGTAGAGCGATAAAGATGAATATAGAAGTGAAGAGTGGGGTGGAGTGGGGCAGTTAGAAGGTGAAAGAGTGGTGGAAGCGACGGCGGCGCAGAAAGACGAGGAGGGGAGAGGATCGACTGGGATAGTGGAGCAGGAGGAGTGGGGATGGTAGCCGCGTCGAGGGAATGGGAGGGAAGGTGTTGTACGGACTGAAAGGGTTGGGGCCGTTGGGAGGGGGTAGTAGGCCGCAGGCTTCATTCACCACGCGGCTACGCTTTACTATGAAGTGTTTGTATTCGCGTTTACCGGCCCGCCGACACCGACCTCCGTTTATCGCCTCCTCTCTCTCGCGCCGCGCGTTCCAACTCGCTCCGTCTTTATCGCGCGTGTATCACCTGTCACGCGCTTTGCCACGACAGACCAAGTTCCGTCCACGGAAGCGTTACACGTGTGACTTTCTAGTTTTCCCGTGATATTTCCCGTGATATTTCAAGGGTCAGACTAGACGAACCTTTTTCTTTAAAAGTATCTATAGTGGTTAGAAAAATATTGGCTCGTTCAGTTACGTTTTAATTGTTTTGTTTATGACTATGAATGGAGGGAAAGAAAATTCATTGAAATATCGCTAGAATTTCTCAAGAAGACGTTCTTTGTGAATAAAAGAAGACGGTCGATACTTTTTCCCCGCGTTTTCCGTTCGCCTCCGCTTCGCTCGGCTCGCTTGCATTCCTCGGGATCCTTTACTCTCCGCGCGTGGCCCCTACCTACCTCGATACACCGAGTCGAGCGTTTGACCAATCCGCGTCGAGGATCATCGTGGACGACGACGTGGTAGAGTAAATGCACGATACTCGAGCTGCGGTCTGCATTCACACATTCCTGACTGCAACGAGCCGTTGTTTGGAGTAAGAGCACCACGTCGAGAACGATTCTCTGTGTCGTGTGTCGATATCGTCTGTACCACCGCCGGTTCTATCTTCGAACACGTCGCAGGAATACGCTTCAATAGACTCCTTTAGCTTCTGATTTATTTAGCCTCACGAGTCGATGTCTCGAATCCCCGCCTTTTGCTTTCTTTCAGTTTGCGATCTGCGCCCACGACACCGACCGCGTTCAAAACGAGACATCCAGACAGAAATTTTCTGAAGGAGATGTACGTGTCTACAAAGAATCTAACAATCGTTTCTATTTTTAATTCGGAGAAAGAGATACCCTTCAGCTAGAAAATTGGCAAGGACTTTGAAATAAATAATAATGTTGCCAGCCGAAGAAATTCAAGAGCATTCGAAAATACGAATGTAAATAGAAAGCGGGGCTAAATCATCGCTGATCTGCACCGCGCCTAATTCGAGCGTCCTCGTCGAACGGGAACCACAAAACACGCCGCCGTTCCCTGCCACCCTCGTCGTTCAATGAACTCCCGGACCGCGTCCGAAAGTTTGATCGTGTGAGAACCACTGGTATCCCGTGCGAAACGGACGTTCGTCGTCGCTCGGCCGAGATCGTTGATTCTCGTTGGATTTCGGCGAATTTCGGCCGGTCGACAGCACCGCTTCGTTGCGGGAAGAATTCGAACGTGTTGCCGCGTCGCCTGGCGTCGCGTCGCATTTCCCGACGCAGAGCGTGAGAGCGCGTGGTGCGCCCGGCGAGCAGACAACCGAAGCGGACAGACGAACGAATAAATTAATTGCACTTTATATGGTCGCGGATAGCCAGGCAAACCACGATGCAAATTCTACAGCTGGCCGGCTGCGGCCGGACGGTTGAGGCTCTAGCCAGCCGCGATTATTCCTTTTAACGCGGATACTTACACAGGCGGTTAGAAACCTGAGAAAACCGAGGAACGATGTTCCTCGCGATGCTATCTCGTCGAAAGGGGGGAATCACGTTTGGAATTCAAGGCTGGATGCAGGGACTTCGGCTATATTCAAAGGCGAGAATACACGGGTCGGGTAAAATTTAACCTACGAATTACTAGCACGTAATTTGAACGTCTGTTTCGCCAATAAATATAATTTATATATTTATCGTACGTTCGTGAATATCGATATGAAAAGAAATAATGCGAAGATGGGAGAATTTATTTCATAGTATTATCTTTACTATAAGATAGAAAAAAAGAATGATTCATTTTGTCTATTCCGCGTATCGAATCGTAGAATGAGAAACACTGGTGTGTGTGTGTGTGTGTAAGGGTGGTTGAGTGAACCAGGGCGTGGGTGGATTATGCAGGTAGTGGGAGAGCATGGGGGTGCGGGAGAAGCAAGGAAGTATGATACTACGCCGCAGTGTAAGGGCTGGTCGATCGATGCCGACCAAAACATTGCCACATGCCTAGCCAGCGCGAACGCTCTTACAATCGTGTTCACTAACCCAATTGTTCGACTAGAATACGTTTTCTAAACGGGATTACGTAGACAGTGTTAGCGGTGGGCTCGTTTGCACCTGCATAATACAGTGTTAAACGTATTATGCTTTCGGTCAGAATGACAAAAAAGGTAATTTACAATGATACAACGGTCGATCTTGAACAGGAAATCATTAAGTTAGAGTTAAAAAATTTGCGTCACTGAAGTGGCGATCTTTCGCGATAACGTGGATATCACGTTGGTGACTCGTGGGATACGAAACAAAGGTCTGACGATGAGTTTATTTGTTTACGAGAACCGCCTCTGACCTTATCGTACACGCCTAATTTCGAGAAACATGAAATTAGCAGCGAATGAAATAATAAACGGATCAAAGTTCGCTATTATCTAGGTGAAAAACATGGTTCGAGGAAAAGATAACTTTTATTCTATACTTTTGATGTCCATTCAAGGAATAGCCTCGTTTTACGAAGGTAGGACACGATCGATTTCGAACAAAATAGAACACGAGTTAGGAACGTTGAGTAATTATATTTCGCGGGACCAATCGGTTTCTATAATAGCAAGAGTGACGACGAGATTGCAGTTTGTCGAAGCGAAAAGCGTGGTC